TGATTATCAGATAATTGTGGTTGGTCTATATGACTCTATGCTGTGCCACTTATATTATTAAGCCATAGTTTTTTGTAATTATGCATTTCTCTTTTCTTAGAAGGCAAATTTATATGACTGTTATGATTAAAAAATTACTGTCTCACACTGATTTGTTCTTTATGGCTGATATTTCTTGAAAAATGTGTAGGATCCTAAACGTAAGGTGCACAAACCTGTCAAAGGTGTTTTGAGGCTGGAAATTGAAAAGCACCAGATTTCCCAAGCGGATTTGGAAAACATGTCAGAAAGTGGTAGTATTACTAATGATTCTGTTGACCCTGGGGATCGGATTGCAGATTCACTGTCTGGTAAGTATCCTAGTAATGGCTGTGATGATCCTCAGGGTAGCATCCTAAGGGTGGTATCTCCAGTTTCAGGAAATGGAACAACTCAACATGGAATTTCAGATTTTAATGCCGATGATGTAAGTATCAATTCTTTTGACGGAGTTGCCTGCCTTTAGTTAGCCAATGGGGTTAATTGTTTTTTAGAGTAGAATTTACTTTTAAAAGGATTTAATTATAAACAAATTTTGTCTTAAAAGTGAATCTATATAGCTGACTTCTTGGTTGATATTTTAGACTTTAGATTCTTTGCAAGTAAGATAATGATAACAGTGGGTATTTTAGTGTATGATCATGAAAACAGCTTTGTGATGTAATGTACCTAGGTGACAAGTTTTATCATTGTTGAGTAGATTAAGAGAACAAAGTAACTAGCTGTTATAAGTGACTCTTCCATCATTACACCAAAATGCATTGATGATGATGTGGGTTGCATATACTAAAATTGTGTTAATACTTGTGTATAATCTTGAACCACTTAAAGGAGGGTCTAATTTTTGAAACTTGATGTTTCTTAATTGTCACTTCTCATGTTGATCACTTCGTGAGGCATCTATGCATGTTGCTATTCTATGTTGTATTTGGTCAAGATAATAATGTTGATAGTGCTTAATTTTGCTATGGTAATGAAGATATTTCGTGATACTGTGGTTTTAAGTAATTCTCTTTATACATGCCATGCCTCTGCTGATGTGCTCTATTATTGATTAACATATAGTTCCATGCTTTTGACTTCCGCACTACAACAAGAAACGAGCCTTTTTTGCAACTTTTTCACTGCCTGTATGTGTATCCGTTGACTGTAAGTTTGGGTAGGAAAAGGAATTTGTTTATACGGGTTGAACTCAGGGAGGATGATGGTGATATTCGTAGGCAGCCATTGGAGGTAATGACCTTTATTTTGTGTTCTTAAGGAAAGTCATGGCTCAAGCTATACTTCCTTCTTATTTGTCTTGGGTGACTCAATCTGCGTAGGCAATATATCCTAGAGATCCAGGTCTAGATGCATCATTTCAGAAGTGGGGTCACACCCAAGTTGCTGCTGGGGCTAGGGTTGCTTGCTACCACGATGAAATTAAACTTTCCCTTCCTGCTACGTCGACGCCAAATAAGGTCCACATCCATAACTTAAAAGGTAGCTTAATCAACAAAAATTACAAGGAATTAATATAAAGCTTTCCAAAACAATTTAATAAAATCCTATCTACGCCCCGATGTCACATGTCCTATCAGAGCAAATCCCAATATAGAAGCCTAAGTTTCATCACCAACATCCTCAGCCTCATGCTGATAATTACCTGTAAGACAGTCAAGGAAAACAACACAAGAGAAAAAGGGAGTGAGAAACATCTCACTCTGGCTCACAGTGTAGAAATATACACCGGATAGTGATGAAACTACTTGGAGAAGATTGTTGAATCTTCAAGTGCTCCATTCCAAGACCGTGTAACTCTTGAGGAATCCTTCAAAAGAAGCTTGAATCTCCTTGAAGCAAACTTCAATGGAGGAGAAGCAATAGAAGTGGTTCGGTTACTCCTAGCTTGATGAAGAAGCTTGAGGAACCAAGGCAAAGGTTGAAGAACCTTTGAGAGAAACCTTAGAGAGAGAGTTCTCTACGGTTTTTAGGACTCTTGAGTGAGAGAGAAATCTGATTTCTATTTCTCAAAATGTTCAAAAGTGAATACAAGAGTAGAAATTACAAATATATAGGGAGAGGTAGCTTAGGGAGCAAGCTAACCTTAACCATGGTTCACTAGGAACCATGGTAAGGTTAGGCTTGACCGTTCATGGTTTGTAAAGCTTGGAGAGCAAGCTAACCTTGACCATGGTTCACTTAAGAACCATGGTAAGGTCGGCCTAACCTCCCAGGTTTAGAAACTTGGATGGAAAACTACTAAACTTTGAAGGAAATGACTTGAAATTCCGGCCAAAGAAGAACAAGGAAGCTAGGCGGCCTAAACTCAATTTGCTCACTTGATTTATTTCAAAATTATTTGATTTGGTTTAGTTAGGTTCATCATATGATGATGAGACCTAGCTAAATCAAAATCTATGAAAAATTAGGAGCAAAATGAGTCAAATATGTAAAATTTTGCCTAGGCCCAGTTTTGGCTCAATTACTAGTCACTCCCTCAAGCATTGTGATGGCAACCCTCCTTGCATGGATTGAGTTAAGAGCGTGAAAGAGGGATGACCGGACTCCTTGGATCATGGAACTCAAGGTTTCTAGCCTTGGAGATGGAGATGGGCGAATGGTGTTTATGGAGGCTAGGTGTTTGATGAAATGCTAAGGTGGTACTCTAGGGTTTTGGCTCACTTCATTGATGGATGAAGGCCACTCCTAAAGGTGAGAACACTCACGGTGAAGATGAGAAGGATAGGTGGCCGAAATGACCTAGGGGACTAAGGAAGAATATTAAGGCACAAAGGCTCTCTTAATATCATAAATTCCAAAGTATTTAC